CCAGCTGCAACAACAGCAGCGGCAGCTGGAACAACAGCAGCGGCAGCTGGAACAACAGCAGCAACTGCTGCAACAACTGCAGCAGCAGCTGCCACAACAGCAGCAGCAGCAGCATATCGTCGCGTTCGACGACGTCTTCGCTGCGTGAAGGTCAGTATTGTAGATTGCCGCGCGGAAGAAATCTTTGGAGACGGGGGCAAGGTACTCCCGCCGATACGGTCTGTGAGAACCTCATAATCGAGGCATTCTTAGACATTCTCGAAATGATTATCTTTAGCTCTGCTTGGATGCTGTGCTAAGGTTGACCGGATCATGAATTTTAATCTACTCGCGGCTGATTGCTCGGACCTCGGTAACCCCATAGTCGAACAGCTATGGGGACACTGACGTGAGCAAGATTCCGTTTCGGACACATTCCGGGGATAATCCTTAGCTGACCTTGGTTTCCTCTCTACTCGATGCTGATGATTCCGAGTGAATCCAAGAGTATCGTCTGCATTGTCAGATCGTCATGGAAGCGGAGAGAAAACCCTGTCCGGCTTTAGTGTGAACTCGGCCCCGACTGCCGACTGTTTTGGCTCATGTATCGCACTACTTCTTGGTATACGCTGTTCTTCATCCGGTGTTCTCGCGCCGAAATGAAATTCCCCGGACGGCTACTAGCTTATGGAGGCGCGACGCCGACGTATAGCAGGCCATGTGTGAAGATACGGTCATCGATGCATACACGCGAAATAGGTTGACGATGATATTCAATTCTTGTCCCGCGGAAATCGTACGGATTCTGAATAGTCTATACCAGTGGTGGCCCTCGTGGTCCCGCGGACTTGAAGTTATCCGTATTTGAATCAGGATGTGTAAACGAGGGTCGAAGACTCTACGAGAATGAAACCCGATTTATCTTCGAAGAGCAAACTCGTCCGACTTTACCCATCGAGCGAGGTACCCGAGAAATCCCATCCAAGGACAGACCGTCAAAGTCGGAAGAAAACATCTGCTGGCCTCGCGAAGGGTGTAGGAAGCTAATCGTACGTGAGTAAGAGCCGCAGCGCGCCGACGTACAAAACCGCTCCGTATCTACTGTGTTTTATGCAGCTTGTGCGGCCCCCTCATCACTGAGACCAGTGGGCGGTGGAGTTTTTGCTTCGAAGATCTTGGACCGCGCGCAGATATCATTATGTTTTCTCCTGGAAACCGGATGGGGTGCTCCGCGGACTAACGAAACTCCGGCTGCGGACCACCATACAGTCAGCGGCACGCGTGTTCGCCAGCCCTGGTTTAAGCTGAAGCTTGAACGGTGGAGTTCGATGCGATGATAGCAATCTATCCTCGGAGTGAAGACCGGCCGGCCTTTGCACTGGTGGCGGATCTCCAGAACTCCAGACCATGACTCCGGTGGAGTCACGCACTCGAAAAGTTCTACTGAGCGCCATTCGATCCAGAACTTCCAATCGTCCGGGCTTCTGACCTGGAGACATGTCCGAAACTCTGTTTCCATTCTTTCTTTCTAATCCATACACCATTCGATTCCAGTCATGAGGCATGGACGGCGGGACCACAGTATACGCCATTCCATTATTACGCGCCCGTCGCAACCGTCCTCTCACCTCCCGCGCCGCCGCCCCAGATTGCACCCACCAACATGGGCCCGCAGTACACCCTGTCCCCAAATGCTCAAGAATTCATACCAAGCTCTTTCATGACGATGCGAGATCCCCACTACATGCCCCTCCACGTAGGGATGCTGCTCGTCGATCCCCAAGCGCAGATGCATTCTCCGCAGCAAGCCCACCATCAGAGTCAACAGCCACAGATGCAGTACCACGCCGAGGCCGCGGGTTCCAACTCCGCGGATTCCTATGAAGACCCGTACTCGTATTTCAGCAAGTCCTACGACGAAGATGTGAGAATCTTTCGCAACTCTTAAGTAGGGTCTCTCTTGGTCCACTTCGAAGGGGCGTTCGACACGAGACGACCGGATTGAGATTCCGGAGACATACGTTCTGACGGCTCTCCCCCTTGTCTCAGTGATTTCTTCTCTTCCCAGGACGATGCTTTGCTGCAAACGCAGATGTTTATAACTGATGTCACGCTCTCACCAGAGTTGTACACAGCGAAGGCGAACGATCTCCTCAAAATCATATTCGAAGACATCTGCGAGCGCAAGAACCCGCCAACGCCGGTTGTTGCGACCATATTCCAGGTATGTGCTCGGCATTCGTCCCGATAGACACTCCGCAGAGATGGAGTTCCATTTTGATCTAGCTGAGACAAGCTCGTCGTAACCCACTCGGAGGTACCGGCCGAAACGGTCCGTTCCATCCGATGATGGATTCTCCATCGTAATAGAAGGTGCAGCTCATCGGAAAACCGTTTTAGCGAGAAACCTTGCAAATCCTCTGATAAGGTGCCGCTCCCGAATTTTCAACTAAAGAGAATAGGTCTGTTATGACCGGTTCGATTCGCATGGGAGGAGATGGCACCGGGGCTGGAATGAAAATCAGTCTGTTGTATCCGAAAGTCCGTTATTGGCTCCGCTCTTGTCGAGCCAGTCGACATTGAAGATCCCATGGGCTCGTCTGGTACCGAGCAATCGTTCCTTCGTAACCGAGTGTCTGTAATATCCGGGTCCGTCGTTATCGAGTGCCCATTATGGCGGACTCCGAAGAACCGTGAAGAATGGTCGTTTATAGCCGGGTGTCCGTTTGAACCGAGCAGATTGACATGGGAGGTACTGTGACCGGGGTCGCGCCGTTAGTGCGTCATAACCGGGTGTCCCTTATGACCCGGGTCTGTTATAACGATGTCCTACCGTATCCCGCTCAATGGGGCCTGAATTATCATCGATCGGCTACTGAGTGAGAAGCTAAAAGATTTTGTCTCGCAGGCGGGTGTTCTACAACAAAACTTCCGCTATTCGGGTGCGCGCCTTTGCAACGTCGCCGCATCGGTCGTAATGACGATGGATGGCCAGACCTTATTCCGAAATTGCCTAATCGAACAGTGAGTTCCGAACCATTCTAGCTCCACGGATATAGTCCGCTATATTCGAGGAGGCTGATATCAGCCATCCCTCGGACGCTCAGTATTTCGGGCGTCCATTCAGACCGATCTTCAATTTCCAGCATGTATGAGAGCTTAGCGAAGGTCAAACCCGTTGTCGGTGACAAGGAGCAAGACAAAGAGACCCGTGGAACAGTGCTATTCTGCGCAGAGTTGTTCTTCCAATTGGATCTCGGCTATAGACTCGATACCTCGGAGACGCACCCGGACATGGGCGTGTTCCTGTGCCGCACCATCAAACAGTTGATCTTATGTAACGAGAAAGAGAACCAGAAGAGTGGGATTCAGGTGAGTCGGTTAACCTCCGCTCTCGGTATGGGAGATCAAATTTCATGCGTGCGGTTAGACCGAAGACATTTTCTATCGTTGAGATCCGATATTTCCCGTTCAAGCTCTGAAGCTCCGCGGTGCCATCCTGGAAAAGCTGTGCGGGAACACCGACGCGATGGACGATCTGATGATGCAGTGCAAGACTCTCGAAGAACAAGAGGGCGTAAACTCGACCAATCAGTTCATGCTGGCGAGACTTCCACAACTCCGGAAAACAAACTGGAATCGCGTGGAGGAAGTTCGTGATCAAGCTCCCTGTGTGGGTCCTGATGACTACACCCAAATGCCAGTCATGTACGGCCCGGATGGTCAACCGATGAGCGAAAAGGAGCTGAGCTTCTTGAACGGCTCCAACCAGATTCCCCCCGCGGAATTCGGTGAAGCCCCGCCAGTCGCCACCGCTGCCGGGTGAGTGCAAGTCGAAAAAGAGAGAAGTCGGGAGGTTGAGGATTTTTCCCGAGCGGTCGAAAGCGAGACTAGCAAGAACAGCACAGCCCGATGCTCTAGAAATGATCAGATCGATTGATTTTTCCTTATTTTCAGAATGGACCATGAAGCGATGGAGGCATACGAACAATTCCTCCGAGAAACAGGACAAAAATAATCGTGGGAAAAGTAGACAGAAGCGTGTCGGGCAACACTCTCGCCATGGCGAGCGGGCGAGGCGGTGCTCATCCACATTCGCCGGTCCACCTTGTACAAACTGCAACACAGAAAGTCAAATCTCAGTGTTAAGCACCAATACTTTTATCCCTTCATCCTCCGCCTCAAGGCAAGAAGAACGGCCGCGTACGCTCCCGTAACGAGAGTGATCCCCGGGCGCTGTTCGTAACACTCCATGGCGATGTTTTTTTGTGAAAGGACTTCAATATCTCTCCTACGTTATCAACCTGAGCAAAATGCAACAACATGTGATTGATGTTGTATCATAAACCTATAGATATAAGTAAGATAAACGAGTTGACAGCATGCGGGTTTGTGGGACATGTATTTTCAAGCCCTCACAGGCCCGCCTCTCTAAAGAAACTTTGTCGTCTGACCCTCTAACGAGTACATAGTACATAGTACTTAACAAGCGAAACCCGGCGTTGAGGACGACAAACATGAGAAGCATTCGCGAAGAAGGCCCGTGGAGATTGTTTAGTGTTCTTTGAAAACTATATTACGAGCTGCTACCTCGGCAATGGCACTGCTAGTCTCACGTCGACGACGGAATCGTTTGTGGCGACCGAACTATGTAGTCTCGAGAAGGATTCTCCGAGACTAACATACTGCGAAAGTGAGATGTCGCTTGCGCTGCTGCATATCATGTCAAAATCTCGGTGAATGCATTCAACTGCACTAAATGAATATTAAACCCGTCCGCATTTCGGCGAGCGTCGCGAGACTGTTGTTCTCCACTCGAAAGGAAGCATCTCGGAGGCAGCTTGCTCCCGTAGAAGGCCAAACTGACCGGCTGGCTTCGCTTATGTATTTGCTGGGTATAGGTAGCCAGCGCGAAGCACCCGCTGAATAAAGCCTTGTTTTCTACGCGCTCGAATTTGATCAGCGATACGCCTCAGAAACCGCCTGTCAGCATCCAGAGCATGAGCGAAGCGTATGCGGGTGTCTCCGCATTCTTTCTCGAATCGAATATGAATCGTCTGACGCCGCTTCCAAACTTTTCGAGTCTAGCGAGAATCCCGGAGGCGTTGAGGGCATAAGAAAACGGAAAAGCGGATGGGCAGTGTGCTAGGTCACTGGGCTGGTTTTCGGCAGTGTGATAGCTACGATGCTACAATTCCGTTCCTCAGCGCCATCAAATCTCCTGTCTGCAGGGAAGAGCGAGCGAATGCGACCTAACGAATTAATATTTGCCCAGGACGAGTATCCGTTGAAGATTTCTCGCGCCGGTGGGATCTCTTCAGCTGCATGCTGTTTCGGACGGCGCATTAACTCGGTGAGCATCGATGATGAGGAGCACTGCGAGACGAGAATTACCAGGGATCACAACATGGTTTTTCTCTTCAAATGTGTACTGTAGTCCTTCAACCAATCGTGTCCTTATGCGGAGCAAGTTGTTTTCATCGACGAACAGATCAAATGCGCTAAGTTTCGTATCTCTCGGAACACGTTCTCCGACTCGGATCGCGTCGAGCTCCGGCCGGAGATACTGAGACTGAGTCCAGCGCATGATATTACTTTCAGCTGAGCGGTAAAGAGTAGTTGAATCCTGAGGCGGAAGCTTGCGAGCCAGCAGGCTGAACCGGAGCACATTTGTGAGCACTCGCATCGCGCGACCAGCAGTACTATGCCGTTCGAGATCGAGCAAAGGCACGGGATAAGTACCCACAATAGGTGCAGCGACCGAGCGAATTTCCTTCCGAACCTCGTTGAAAGTAGAATCAACAGCTGATGGTTGAGACAGCGCTTGCTCGCTGAACGGGAATCGGAGCCAAGTCGGGCCATACCACCACTCCGCGGACTCGGTCAAAACCTGAGCGCTGATTCCCCGAGTAGCGAGATCAGATACATTTCGGCTTCCCTGGACATGGAACCAGTCTTCCCTCCTCGAGCCTGCCTGGATCTCCGCTACGCGATTGCTAACGTAGGTTTTCCAACCGCCAGGCTTCGCAGAAGTTGCCCAGTGGAAGGCGATGGTAGAGTCAGTGTAGAAGCGAAAAGCCTCGAATTGAACCTCCATTCTCTGAACTAGGAATGTTTTCAGCCGGACTGCAATCAGTGCAGCGAGGAGCTCGAGTCTAGGTAGAGACACCTGATCGCGAGGTGCCAGCCTTGATTTTGACACAGCCAACGAGAAGGTCGATGTTCCATCGGCGAAACGTCACTCTATGTAGGCGGCACAAGCATACGCCAGTTGAGAGGCGTCTCCGAAGAGATGGAGACGGTAGGAGATTGGACTCTCCCGACTACCATCATATCGCCGTCGGAAATCGAAACGCTCAAAGGTCTCCGCCTCGGACACCCACTGGACGAGGTCTCCCCGAATTTCATCGGATACTGTCTGACTCCCTTCGGTATTTGCAGTCCACATCCTCTGAACAATGATCTTGCCGCGTATGGTGAATAGCATCAGCCACCCCAACGGGTCGTATAAGGAGGCGACAGTACTGAGGACAGCTCGTTCACTCAATGATGTCCTCAGGTCGAAGTTCTTGCGAAGGTTTGAAGTAGCGAGGCGGAAAACATCTGTAGACGGCTCCCACAGAAGACCCAGTACCTTCAGTACATCGCTGTTGCCCCGGTCGAATGTGGCGGAGTCAACCCCCGTGTTGAGAAGATGGGTTGTGACCGCGTTGGAATTCGTTTTCCATTTGGCCAATGTCATACCGGCGGTTCCGAGCGTCTTCCTCATGTCGTCTGAGAATGCGATTGCTTCCTGGTCGTTTTTGAAACTCTGAAGGAAATCATCGGCGTACAGGAAGTTTCCCAGCTCCTGGCACAATGGAGGGTTCCGTTTTAAGGGGAGATATGGATGTAAAAATCGATATTCCGATTCAAAGCTTAAAACTTTCTATTCCTAGTCGGGGGTCTACCAACGAATTTTCGGCCCGAAATTCGGCCGTGGAGTCTCGACTCCGCGACGAAACCTCGACCGATCGACACCGTTTTCCCCCAGTGGGTTGCAGTGGCTATTCGTCCCGGTCATCAGAGTTCGATACAGCCGAGCGTTTTGCAAGAAACTCTTTCTTCCGTTGCACCGCGATTCCCGACTGAGGTTCCAATTCGAATTCTCCCGCCTGGCCCTGCTTAACTATTTTTTTTAAATAAGATGAGTTCAGTAAAGCTTTTTCATCATCGAGGGGCTAGTGCTAACGGGCTGACCGGTCTCATTTGGGATCGTGCATCGCGCAGGAATATCAGACAGCCGAAATGCTTCCGTCCAGAAGATTTGCTGATAAGGGGAGTCGTACGGCGCATCGTTTGAAACGTCCGGTAAAGAGAAAGTTCCAGGGGAATTGCTACGTGAAGTTGGACGTCTTGGAAGGGAAGAGCTCGGTGACATCCACGTCGCGAGAGAAGCTCCAAGGCAAGCACCAAATCGATTGTAATCCCGATAGGAATTTCGGTTACGCTCTCGTAGAATTCTCTTCTCTCTTCGGAAAGCTCGCCTCTCTGGTGAAGTGCAAGAAGTGCAATGGTGAGGTCTCGTTCAATCAAAGCAACCACCGAGGGTTAGGGTTCAAAATTGAGCTTCAATGTCCCGAATGTGTGCCGATGCACATCGACTCGGGTCCACACATTCGGAATTCCTACGAAGTGAACAGTCGCATTGTTTTCGCAATGAGACAGGCGGGCGTCGGCTCTACGGGCCTGAGTACATTCTGTGGGCTGATGGATCTCCCCCTCTTCCGGCAGAGCGTGTATGATACCGGCAACAATCACATCGCGAGAGCTGCCGAGAAAGTCGCGCAGTTCTGTATGTCGAACGCAGCTCGGGAAGAAGCAGAGAAAACCAAGGAGGCAGTACTATTCGCCGATGAGCGAGCATTGGCCGTCTCGATTGACGGGTCTTGGTCCCGAAGAGGATTCAATCCTTTGTTCGGACTGGTGGCCGCGATTGGTGAAAAAAGCGGTAAAGTACCCGACGTCACAGTCAAAAGTCTCCATTGTTCTGTTTGTTCGCGATGGAGACTCGAAGAAGGCACTGCGGAGTTCGAAGAGGCCATGCAGGAACATCGCTAGCAATGTCAAGTGAACCATCAGGGCTCGAGCTGCACAATGGAGTCGAGCGGCGCCGTAGAGATCTTCAGCAGATCCGTGGAGACGAGGGGATTACTCTACAAGAACTACATAGGTGATGGCGACTCAAAATCCCATCGAGCCGTTGTGCTGGCGAATCCTTACGGTGTGGAGAATCCCGTGGTAAAGAAAGAGTGCATCGGTCACGTCAGCAAAAGAATGGGGAGCCGACTCCGCAAGTTGGTGAAGTCTACTCCTTCCCTCAAAGGGAGGAGGAAACTTACCGGGAAAAAAATCGATAAATTAACAAAGTATTACGGCAATGCCATTCGATGTAACGCAAACGACCAAGAAGAGATGAGAAGAGCCATCTGGGCCACATATTTCCACCGCGCATCCTCGGATGATAAGCCGGAACATTCCTACTGCCCGTCGGGGGTTTCAAGCTGGTGTGCCTATAAGCGAGCTCTCGCACATGGTGACGTGAGCGAGTTCAAACACCCATCATGTTGGCCGGATGATGTTCGCGCGGCTGTGCGACCGATCTATGAGGACCTGTCTCGTGAAGATTTGCTTGTGAGATGCCTGGGTGCCCACACCCAGAACAGCAATGAATCTTTCCACTCGACAGTTTGGCGGCTCGCACCTAAAGCGGGCTTCTGTGCGAAACAGAAGATCGATTTGGCAGTGAATATGGCCCTGATTTCTTTCAACGAGGGCCGGACGACGTTGGCTCTAATTATGCAGGAACTGGGGTTCGTGGTCGGACAGAATTGTCTTGCTGAATTGGAGAGGCGCGATGCTGCACGGGTAGAACAAGCCGACCAGAGAGCTGCCTCCATAACTGAACGGTCCCGCCAATCGAAGCAACGTTCAAGAGTCGCTGCAGAAGATCAAAAAGACCTTGAATATGGTCCAGGCATTGATTCCGACTAATGTCCCGGGCTTCATCAATTTCTGGAAATGGACCCTAGACATTGGCGGCTCTATCCCACACACTGACACCCTGAGCCTTGAAACCATATTT